TTCCAGTCACTACTACCACCACCACCTGCCGCTTGCAGCCGCCCAACAAACTCTGCGAACGCAACAGCAAATGCAGCAGCCGGTGCACCAGCAACAGCAACATCAAAGTTCTGGCAGCAATGTACGGCACCGTAATGTTCCAGATCTTTTTCCTGCATCTGCTCATCGTCAGCAGCAACAGCAGCAGCAGCAGCAGCAGCAACCTCAGTATTTTCCGCAGCAACAACATCAGCAGCAGCATCCCCTGTCGCAAGGACCATCAGCTAGGCCACTTGATGTGTTGAGCCACTTGCACAACAGTCAGCAGGGGTCAACCTCCTCACATGGGCAGGGTAGTGCTGCCAGCCATCAGCATCAGTATGGACACAGTAACGGTTCAACACTGGGCAGTGGAAGCAACGGTAGCAATGGCTACCACCAGCATGCCAATCAGAGCTACCCTTACTACCCCTATGGAGCAGCTCAAGGCAGCAACGCCGGGGTAAACTACAATTCACTTCAACCCGGGCAACATCCGTGGAGCTATCAGCACGGTGCGTACGCGGCATTTTTGCAAAAACAGCCGTTTTCACAATATCAACAACAACAGCTTCTACAACTTCAACAGAGTAAAGAACAGCTTTATCAAAATAACCAATATTTGCAGTATCAACAATATCAACCACAGCAAAAAGAGTCCTACTATTCGTACCAGAATAACAGCTCAAATTGAAATGAAAAATAATTGCATTGTGTCAAAGGTAAAGAAAAAGTTTAGCAGTTTTTGAGCAAAATTACTAATAAGATTTATTTATNTATCAACAATATCAACCACAGCAAAAAGAGTCCTACTATTCGTACCAGAATAACAGCTCAAATTGAAATGAAAAATAATTGCATTGTGTCAAAGGTAAAAAAAAGTTTAGCAGTTTTTGAGCAAAATTACTAATCAGATTTATTTAATTATTTTATGTTAAGGTGCTGAATACAAATCTACATTTCACTGACCCATTACACTCTTTCACTTTCCCTCTTGTTCTCAATTCTAATCACTCATATATGTCATTGACCATCATTACACTCATTATTACATTCATCACTGCACTCGTTCATGATCACCACTGTATTCTTTTGTAAACAACTGTATTAAATCCGATTTTTCATTGTTATATTTGATCATAATTATATTAAAATGTTTTAAAACCAATCTACTTGTGTTTTACTGGTTAAATTAATTCAAATTGTTTTAAAATTTTAAAATAATAGTTTTAATTATTAAACAAACTTACCAAAACTGTTTTTGAGCTATTGCTTATTTAGGAAAACAGCTAACAAATGTTGAAAAAAAATTGCATGGCGAAGATTGGCTGTTACAGATAGCCAAAGAATCATGTAAACATCACAAAAAGTAATTATCATAACTTTAAACGTTGAATATGTTGATAAACATGTTCTAAATCTGTAGAAAAATAAATAAAGTTAGTGAATAATAAAATGTCAATATAAGAATACAAAACCAGTACATTTTAAAACAATAAAAAGGTTTTACACTATTTTGTGTTTATTTTATGACACAAGGGGTCGTAAAAGTTTTTTTTGTAAAATTCAATTTTTTTTAAAATAGGCTGGGAATTATTTCTTATTACTGGTCACAAAGTTTTTGTTTTTGTAATTTAAAATCAGCCTATCCCAAAAAAATGAATTTTTTTATTTTTCTGTCTTCACTAACTCTTTTTGCTCTACAAATTACACCGTTAGAGATATGGAGATGCTGTTTTTACCAGTAGAACAAAATAAATGGCATTTTTCTAGTAATACTAAAAAGTGAAAACAAGTTCGCCCCATTTTCCCGACAACTCACAGATTATTAAGTTGCATACCATTGAAAAGGTTTAATTGCCCTAAATACAAATGTATAAATATCTAAATGGCGCCAGAAACGGTTTTTTAGAAAATCGGGTTTAAAGGTGACCAAAATATGCAGTTTAGCAATATTGTTTTGTTTTTGCTAGTAACACTGCGGTTTAACTCCGTTAGGTGGCGCAAACACCAGCAGGTAAAGCATTGCCAAAGGTACAGTTTGGACCCAATTTTCTCAGGAACCGTTCCGGGCGCCACATTGATTTTTACATATTAGTACTCATGGCATTTTTAGCTTTCCAATAGTGTGCAACTTATTATTCTTTGATCTGTCGGGAAATTGGGGCGATTGACTATGAAGACTTGTTTTCACTCTTTAAGTTGATAAGATAACCGGGAGTATTTAATATGGCGGATTATCTGTTTTTAGTCATAAACATTTTTGGCTGTATAAAAAAAGTAACTGGGTCTAGAAGCTTGGGGTTTTGATTGTAGTGATCAGATAAACAGTCGGCACAAAATGGCNTGTCGGGAAATTGGGGCGATTGACTATGAAGACTTGTTTTCACTCTTTAAGTTGATAAGATAACCGGGAGTATTTAATATGGCGGATTATCTGTTTTTAGTCATAAACATTTTTGGCTGTATAAAAAAAGTAACTGGGTCTAGAAGCTTGGGGTTTTGATTGTAGTGATCAGATAAACAGTCGGCACAAAATGGCTATCTCTAAGCTTTAATAAAGTAACCGGAAATGCTTTATCTAGATTTTTCATTTTTAAGATAAACTTTTTTAAATACTAAATAAACTCCGAAAAGATTTTTTATTACACCATTGGAGTCGCGCTCGCTCCGTTCGCGAGACCCGAGTCGGTGGACGTTCACAGTGCCTAAGTGTCGTCAGCGAGCGCGACTTAGCCCTTGTTTATATTTAAAACTTATATTTCCGCTAAAATAGCAGTCGTAAAACCTCTAACAAAGTATATTTTTTTAGTTTAATGTCAGTTTGTGTATAAAAAGTTACTTTTAAGCATTAAAATTAATTTGCTATTTTACTTGCCATGTGACTTCAAGATAACTGAACCAAACTACTTTTGTTTAATAAAAAAATTGCTGATACTTTTAAAAAAAATTTCATTAATGACTGACTCAGAAAAATCTATTTTTTATAGTTTCAAAAAAACATTTTGAATCAAACAAAGTAATTTGGATTCACTACAACACAGTAGACTGGTTTGTTTTATGTTTGATTTAGACAATTTTTATCTTTGCAAAGGCCATTGCCAACGATTCACTATTTTGTTGTTCTCTCGCTAAAAAGGCCAACATGGTTATAGATAGAAAGAGTAGACCATTTGAATCACGAATATGTCGGTTTCGTTGGGGGAAACAAAGGGGTTTTTGATTGAGAACTAAAAACGCTCCCCACAATTGTGAAGGTTGTTGGGCACTTTTTGGAGCATTGTGAGCTATTAAAAACACTTTTAATAGAGATCAAAAGTTTTATTTGCATCTCTGGAGTCTGCTGCGCATTTATATATTTATTATTGTCTATAAAAAAACCGTGATCCAAATTGGTTCGCTGCAAAAGCTCCAAAAACAGGTACAAACTTTGATTTTTTTTATTTTGAAAATTTGTAATTATGGTGTTCCCTAACTTCATGGGTCATGTTTAATATCAAAAGAACCAATAGATTTTCTAGTTTTAGAATATGTTTACTTCGAGAGGAAAAACTCAGTGGTTTGAAAACTAGAGCCCAAAAAGTCCAGTGATTTTGGGTCGCGGGCGGATAAATCAAAGTAAGCACAAGGGCTGGTTTGGTCGAAATAACCACACGCGACCCAAAATCACTGGACTTCTTGAGTTCTAGTTTTTAAACCACTGAGTTTCCCCTATCAAAGAAGAAATATTCTGAAACTAGAAAGTTTACTGGTTCTTTTGATGTTAAACATGAACCATGAAGTTAGGGAGCACCAAAGTTACGAGTTGTCAAAGTAAAAAATTTGTTTTTGGATTTTTAAAACTCTAGTTTTTGAATCAATTAGTTTCTTCTAACGGAATTGACATATTCTAAAATTAAAAAATCTACCTGTTCATTTGATACTAAACATGACTCATGAAATTTGGGAACACCAGAGTTATGAGTCTTTAAGTGGCCCAAACTCTGTTTATACAATGGGTCACGTTTTGTGGTCTTATTTGAAAACCACTGAGTTTTCCTCCAACAAAGTGGCTTTATTCTAAAACTAGAAAGTCTACCGGTTTTTCTGATATCACACATGACCCATGAAGTTAGGAAGCACCAGAATTAGAAGCCTCCAAAAAATAGGGAGTTTTTCCATACAGATTGGCAATGGCCTTTTAAAAAGATGATTTTTAATGATTAAGTTGATTTTAGCAATTTAAATTGATCTCAAAAGAAGTTAATTTTGTTATTTTTCTAAATCAATTTATAAAACTATTTAAAATCATAGTACTTACCAAAACTATTAAAAATCATGATTGGACGTTTTAAAAAACTACAAAAACAAGTTTAATATTAAAACAATTTAACTGTAAATATTTTTAAAACAAAAAATGCACAAAAACATTTACTCAATAAAATGTCATTTTTTAACAAATAAAGACAAATGATAAACAATTTTTTTAGTTGCAACAAAGTTGTCATTTAATTGTCACTAATAATTGTTCACAAATATAATAAAAAAAAATTTTTAAACAAAACAAAAAAAATAAAATGCATTGTAGTCAGTAGAGACATTGCAGTCTTTTTTGCAACAATCACTTTGCCTTCCAACGCACAACTAAATGAATGCACTAGATAAAACAAAAATTATATAGTAGCAAAAATGGCATTTAGACAATCACCACCGCCGCCGCCACCACCACCACCAATGACTAAATTTTCACTTTTATTTGGGCACATTTTATTAGAAGAAAAGGAAACTTTTTCATATGTTAGCATTCAAACAAAGGTGATTGAGTTGAAACTTTGTATGCTATCCGCACTGATGAGTTGAAGTTGAGTCTGATGAATAAACACAAAACTGCCTCGTTTTGGCGCGCTCGATAGAAAATTTGAAATCGTTGGCTGTTTGCTCTTTTCACTTCTTTTCATTTTGTTTCACAAATTAGATCACCTTTTTCTCTACTTTTCTCCCTCCCTCTCTTTCTCTCTCCCTCCCTCTCTTCAGAGTTACTCGTATTACCGCCGAACTACCAGTCACTACTCTTTTTACAACTCTCTGACATGTTCTTGTCCGCCCTGTCCGCCTTTGATCTGCGTCTCACCCGGGTCCGCCCTTTTCCCTTCTCATTCATCCGCTCAACAGCAAGAACAGCTAGTGCCTAGGAGGCCTTTCATTAGAGATGTGGCAATGGAAGAGGCCAAGTTTCCACTCCAGAGTTACTAGAGCCTTGTGGCTTTCAGTTTTCTTCAACTATGTAAAAAGAGATCGAATTGCCTTCAGTTGTCCATTAAGCAGTCAGTCAGTCAAGCAGTCAGTTTGATTGGCCCTCACAAGTTGAAGCCCCTTTCTTCTCTTTCTCTCTCTTTATCTCTCTCGTCTTTTCCCAGCTAGTGTTTTCTAAATTGTTTCCAGTACTAAACAATCTGTCTACTGGTGAAACGACCGTGGGGTACCACCATTTGACAGCAGGCTATGATTTGAGACTAATTCCTTTGAAACGCACACATTTTCATTTTTTCCCCTTTTTGCGCAAGTAAAAGTAGTATTGGTTCAAAACGAAAAAAATCGATTACCAGCTCTTTTGAAAGTAGTGGTAATCAGTTGCCTCTATCTCTTTTTCTCTTTTTTTTTTGTTTTGTGTGTTTACTTCATTATTGCCAATAGAATAAGCTCTCAAGGTTAGCA